ATATATATATATATATATATATATATATATATATATATATATATATATATATATGTGTGTGTGTGTGTGTGTGTGTGTGTGTGTGTGTGTGTGTGTGTGTGTGTGTATATATATATATATATATATATATATATATATATATATATATATGTGTGTGTGTGTGTGTGTGTGTGTGTGTGTGTATTTGTATATATATAATATATGTGTATGTATGTATATGTATATGTTTATATATATGCAGATATGTATGTATCCATAAATACTATATATATATATATATATATATATATATATATATATATATATGTATATATATGTATGTATGTATATAAATCTGTATATATACACATATGTTTACATATATAGCAGTCGGTTTAAAGTGGCGAATTATGTATATGTATATATACATGTATATATATATATATAAATATATATATAATATATATATGCATTGTATATATATATATATATATATATATATATATATATATATATGTATATTATATATATATATATATATATATTATATATATATATATATATATATATATATAATATATACACACACACACACACACACACACACACACACACACACACACATATATATATATATATATATATATATATATATATATATATATATATATATCACCAATTTAAACCAACTACTTTCTCTCTTAGTTATACAATTTGCTTTTTCCTCGTTTTTCTTAGCCTGTCAGACAATACTGACCTTTGTGTGTGGGAATTCCAAGACGTTATCAGTTAAGGAGATACGTTTAGGGTTGATTCGGCACGTATCTATACATATATACATATTTTTACACTTTTTTATTAACACTTTCCTGGTGTACCATCAAGTTGAAACCACAATTCTTTCCACGAAATACATGTACAGAGACTACAAAACCATTTTCGAATTCCACAAACACATCGCACAGAATGGCGCATATCACTTACGTGTATTGTGATTGTATTGGAGGGACAGGTGGAGGGGGGGGGGGGGGGGAGGAGGTCACTTAAGAGACGCTACGTAATAATTTCTCAGTTTCGCAAGTGACGGCACTCAGTAGATACGATTTCTCCCGAACTTCCAAGAACCTAGTAAGTTCAAGTAGACTCAGGTAGATTTAGTGTGCCAAGCAAGCAAGTCGGGCTATTTTAGTAAAGCACATAGCTTGTAGTAAAACTTGTACTGTTTTTAATTAATAGAAAAATCATTAGATAAGAATGTATACTACGTGGTGCTTAGATTTCATAACGTATTGCTATTACTGCATCATCTAGTAAGCACCATTATTATTTGATTATCATAGCCATATGATCAGCTTTAGTTATAAAATAATGGCTATAAGCAGAATGCTGAATTTATCACTGGAAAAAAAATTAATCGTCACAGAAGGTAGTTCAGGTAAAATATCACAGTTGTTATTGGTATAATAGACTTGTTTTCATGTTAACAATTATTCAGCTTCATTCCTCATGAACACCAAACTTCAAAAAGTCTTCCTAAGTCGCCATCTGAGAATTACCTGAATTACCTAAAAACACATTAAAGGTGTCACAACGTAAATTGTTAAGACGTGGAAAATCTTTCAGCTGTTAAAACGCACCAAATATGGGAGATCGTTCCTACTTTTAAAAGGCCTAATCCACAGCAGTCTTGGCAGTTTAGTTCTGAAAAAACTCGTGAATCATTTAGTGCTGAAAACTCAAGATTTAGTTTATCTCTTCCTTTTCCAGCCTTTAGCATCTAATATAGAGACTTTAACCTCTATTACAGATACACTGATTTACTACAGAGGGTTGGCTATACTGGATTTCAGGTACGTCTGGATAAAACATTATATAAATGAAAAGAACACTTTACCTTCAGGAAAGTATTTTCAACATATTGACTATCACCTTGTTATCTCACCTCGTTCATTGTTAAATATTATCGCCAGATATTCAAGATTTCGCGTATAATCTTAAATGTCTTTAAATGCAGAATAAAAAAAAAGTTCATATATTTCTAAAACAAAAATCCAATATAAGAATTTCAAAGAATAAACTCTACGAGATCCAGGTTAACTGTTTTTGCGGAATTTTAAAACACAAGATGAAATGGAGTCTTTACTAGATTAATCCCTTGGCAATACGACCCATTAGTGAATCATTAAGAGTTATTTAGCCTATAACGTTTTGCTTTGCGTATTAATTGTTGATGTAACAATGAAAAAGATACACTACAGTCCAGTAACTGCCTTTAAGATCAATCATGGCTTTTCTCATGTAAGAAACTAATCTGAAAATGAAAGGAATCTCTATGATATGGAATGGTATGTCTATTGGATGATTAAGCATTTCGATGATCATAATGATATATCTATAAACTTCTTACGTTGAAGTTTGAAGCAGAAACCGAGATTGGCAACGATAGGGAAACCGAAGCAAAGAATTTACCAGAAAAAGTTGAGTAAGAAGTAATCAGAATACAAGAAACTGTTAAGCAGATCGAAGGTAATTTGTCAAGTAGCCAGGCCCAAATAATGAAAAGGGAAAGAAACGCCCTCTAAAAGTAACATTCATGAATAGGGAAATGGTAACTGATATAATAAAGAAAGCCAAAGTCCTGGCCACCATTTGGAAGAATATAAGAAAATCTGAAACTATAACCAAAGATGACAAAGAAACACTGCAGAAAAAATGGAAGACGTAAAGAACAAAAATGAACAAAGGACTGAAGAGGGAAAAACAGTTTATTTGGAGGATGAGAGGTCGCCAAGCAAAGCAAATATACTATCGGAACAAAAATATAGAGACAGGCAAACATTAACCTTGCAGCCAAAAGGAATACCGAAAAATTATATAGAAATAGTCTACACAAGTATAGATGGTTCATCTTCGAAGTTGCTAGACCTAGAGACAATAAATATAACGAATAAATCAGATGTACTATGCATCACAGAATCCAAAATAGGCCCTTCCACACACGATGTAACTATAGGACTCAGGCGACTATAATATTTGGAGAAAGGATAGGGCAAATGGAAATGGAATTATTAACAACGAAAGGAATTAGTAGAAGGACTATTAATCAATGTGGAACTGAAGGCAACTGAGTTAGGAATAAACGGGGTAAGCATAATAATACTCCTAGTATACATGCCACCTCATACACCGGTGTTCACAAGAAAATTACCCAAAAACTAATTCAAAAGACATTACAGAGCCAGGAAGAAGTGATACAACTTCCGGAAACCAGTTCGAAACAACTTTCGGAAACCAATGCAAAAGAAATTCTTATCACAGGGGATTTTAATAGCAAAATTGATAAGGAAAGTTTCGATCGCAGAGTGCAACAACATTCGTGGAATGCTAAATTACTAGCAGTAATAAATGAGTATTGCCTTTTCCAGAATGTAACAGATCATACCTGGATAAGAGGGCTAGATAGTCTATGGTTGACCTTATATTCACAAAGCATATCCATGATCTTAAGGTTATCGAGTGCTATCCTCCTTTAGGAAAAAGCGACTATGTAGTGATTAAACTAACATACTGTCTGCTACAGGAAAAATTCACTATAAGCAAGGAAAGAAAGGAAAAATACAATTACAAGAAAGATTATCATAGAAACCTTAAAGATTTCTTTGATGGCATAAACTGGAAAACACTTTTGGGCGATGACAACCTTGATGTTCAATATTTATTTTTTGTGGTCTATAAAAAGGAGTAATAAAATTTATATAACAATTCAAAACTAAAGCAAGAAATGACCAAAAATGGCTAAATGACAAATGCAAGAAAATGAGAGAAAATCAACAAATGTGCAAGTCAACCAAAGCTCTGCTTCAAGTACAGAAATAGTAAAACTAAAAACAGAGATAAAATTGTTGTCATCAAAGACAATAACATAGTTTATACTAAGGAGGAATGAATGTTTGAAATCCTGAAAGAGAAATTTTAGTTCGTGTTTGTTCAGAACCCATACTTTGATATGACAAATACCCGTACAAACGTAAAGAACATCGAAGATATTACCCTAAAAAAAAGAATGAAATAAAAAAAGATCTGCTAAAAGGATTAGACAAGATCAGATCAGAGGAACCAGATGAGATTTCTAACTGGGTTCCTAGGGAATGTGCCGAAGAACTATGTAATCCTTTTTTGTTATCCATTATTTTCAATATTCCAAAAGTCAGTGAGACGGTAAATTACCAAAAAGTTGGAAACTCGCCAATGTTACACCCCTATACTAAATCCTCTAAATTATCATTAGTAGTATACAAGCTGTTAGATGGAAACAATGGGGGTTGAATTACTTGAAAAAACACGAAATGATATCAAATAAGCAATATGGTTTTAGAGAAGGAGGGTAATTTGTAACAAATCTCCTGTTTTTTATGATAGAATATCGGTGGTATGGAGCCCACACTTAGAGAATATAGACGAACTGGAAAGAGCTCAAAGAGCGGCCACAAGATGAAAGTAAGAAAGAAAAGTTGGGGGGGGGCATGATTATGCTGTTCAACTGTATTACAGGAAGAGTGAAGTAAGATTAAGATGACTTTTTTTTTTTACACGCGCACACACACACACACACACACACACACACACACACACACACACACACACACACACACACACACACACACACACACACACACACACACACACACACACACACACACACACACACACACACACACACACACACACACACACACACACACACACACACACACACACACACACACACACACACACACACACACACACACGCACGCACACACGCACGCACGCACGCACGCACGCACGCACGCACGCGTACATGCACGCGCGCCTGCGCGTATTATGTAATCATTATGTATGTGTATTTGCATGTGTATGTATATGTGTACGTATGTGGATGTGTATCCATGTACATATTGCTTGTGAATGCGATGTGCGGTTCATCTTGGAAAAGTCAACATCTGGCAACAAGAGAACCATAATATTTACATGGTGACGTCACAGAACCTAAATTTACGGGTAGACGACATTTTTAAGGACAAGAAGAAGAAGAAGAAGAAGAAAAAGGATATATCAACATTGACTCTCATTATTTTAGTGTTCTCAGAGCTTAGTAAGTCCATATGCTGCTGACACGTATAAAAAAAACTTTTTTTTTTTTTGATTTGGTTTTCTTGGTGTGAAAGGATACATTGCTGAATGTAATTTACTGTTATTCGGTAATTATACTGTGTTCCTTACATTAATTTACGTTGTTTTAGATTCTGTTTAAGTCTCATAACAAATGACTTTTATTTTAAGCCAAAGATGAAAGAAACAGACTTGTAGAAACAAATAAAAAGGTTTTGCCTCGACCATCAAGGTATTACATTATCTAATACTTTATTAACTTTCAAAATAAGTTCTTTTAGCTTACTTACAATGTTGTTTTAAGAAAATGATTAGGAGAATAACTTTAACCTAAGTTGAGAAATAGATTGAACAAAATATATAACCAATATATTCCTTGTTTGTGCAAAGATCAGTATCATAATTAAATCAATTTATGAAACTTACTCTAAGTCCATTTTCAGAACAGGATTGTGGGAAAATAATGGAAATATTAGGCAATAAATGTAAAGAACATATGAAACAACACAAGTAAGCAGAGTACGCAATCAGCAGAAAATAAAAGGAAATATGTAGCTGCTTATGAAAGTCTGCCAATCAATACTTGCTTTTCTTGTGCGGAAAAGTTGAATGATTCTTTGGCTTCGTACTCCAGTTAAATATCCACCTTATATATTTTGATGAGATCAAGAGCAGGTCTGTTCAGATGCGGAAAATGTAGAAGCCATTGTGCTTCTCTCTGTATCTGTCTTCTAATTTATGTTTTATTATTAATTGCATCATAATTTTGACAGGATTGTAACACCATTGTTTATTCCAAAAAGTTATATCAGAGAAGTAGGATATGATTTGAAATTTATATCAGAGTAAAGATTAGCTATATATATTATGTAACGATGTTTAAAAGTCGTGGTCATATAAACTAAAGGTTATCACTTTACATGAAATGATAATATTTAATTCTTGTGATGGTGTTCCACGTGTAGGTGTTCGTGATTATTTCTTTTTCCTATTTTTATTGGTTTAACTCATGAGAGTTTAGTGATTAAGGCCCGATAAATAGTAGAAGCAGCATTTTGCCTTTGTTTGCAGCAGATGGAGACTCCTAACAAGCTAATCTATTTGAGGGTGATCCTTCGGAAAACTTCAGGAAGGCAAAAACAGGACCAACCTGGTAACCGTCAAAAATCAATCCTAGACTGCTACTACTTTAACTTCAAATTATAATGATACTATTCTCCTCGCCCCCCCATATCCCCTGCTAGTTGTCATGGGGTGGCTTAGGAGACGGAGACTAAGGCTCAGTGTAGGGGATCACCCTTACCGTGGATCTCAATCCTTGCCTCAACTAATTTTGTATAGTCTCTTCTCCTTTCCTTTTCTTTCGCTTCTTCATCCCCTTCTTCTGTACACACCCTAAAGTGCGAGAGCCATGCTGAAAGGCTGAAAGCCTGGCTTTATGTCAGTCCTGACCGGCCTTCCTACTCCGTTTGCCTTTCCCTATACCACTAATATACCACTAATGACCTTCAATAAATACAAATAATGATAATATTGATGATAATGACAGTGGTAAATAAAAAATGAAATGGTAAAGGTCTTAATAATGACAAAACAGTTGTATGAATTTGATGATAATGACAGTAACAATGTTAGATGAAAAGGTATATTAAAAGTGATAAAGTTGATGAACATAGGCCCATATTAAGTTAAGTATTCATGAAAATAATATGAATAGTAAAGGTAATTTGATATTTGTACAGATGGTATCATATTTTTGATAAAAAAGCACCTGTTCTAATGATGATTACAATGCAACTACTATTGATAATGATAATAGCAATAGTAGTAATGATATGAACAAGAGCTTTATTAACCTTGATGACAATAGCTGATATAATTTTTTTTCTTCCAGAACACGAAGCTTCACCTGCAAATCCTAAATAAACCTTGGAATTAACACACAGCAGCATGTCCATTATGAAGCAGCAGTGTGTGTCAGACTTAGAGAATGAGAGGAAGAACTGCTCCTTTGATAAAGAGGAGCTGACTAATATTGTGGACGGTGGGGTTGAGAAGACTCAATTCAGAAGACGACTTGGTAATTGTGGGGAGATCTTTAGTTTTGATTTTTCTATTTTGTAGAGTAAATGAGATATAAATTGATAGAATTAAACAATTAATTTTTTATTTTTTCTATTTTGTACAATATGATAGGTGTGCAATAGATCTGCTTTTTGCATATTTAAGGAGATATTCATTATTAGTAATTACGACTTCTTTTCTTGTCGCAGAGGAATATTTTCTCCGTGACCCCCAGTTTTTGGACAGCATTGGGCCAGACTACATGAGTCATGAAGATCGCTATGCAAATGAGCTCCGCAAAGCTTG